CCCGTTTGCTGTCCAGGGCTTTGGTTGGACAAACAGTCCTTCCTTTTTTTTTTTTTTTTTTTGAGACGGAGTCTCGCTCTGTCGCCCAGGCTGGAGTGCAGTGGCGCGATCTCGGCTCACGCAAGCTCCACCGCCTCCGGGTTCACGCCATTCTCCTGCCTCAGCCTCCCTAGAAGCTGGGACTACAGGCACCTGCCACCACGCCTGGCTAATTTTTTTGTATTTTAGTAGAGACGGGGTTCACCGTGTTCGCCAGGATGGTCTTGATCTCCTGACCTCGTGATCCGTCAGCCTCGGCCTCCCAAAGTGCTGGGATTACAGGCGTGAGCCACCGCGCCCGGCCCCAAACAGTCCTTCTTAACCCAGAACAATAGTGCTTTGAAACATTATGGATAACAGGCAAGCCCAGTGACAGAGCTGGGGAGCCTTCAGAGGACAATGATTCCCCCAGCTATGTGCATATGTTTCTCAGGGAGTGTTGGGGGCTGCATGTTGAAATTTTTAACTAGAGTTACTGGCTGAAAAAAAAAGTGTTAAGGAGTTAGTTTATCTTAACCATTTTTAGATCACATACCCATTTGAACATCTGATGAAAATTATGGACTTTCTCTCTAGAAAAACATATACACATGCCGAAATTTACTAACAAGTTCATGGGCTTCAAGGACCTTTTAGGAACGCAAACTGCTTTTGTAGGGTTCAAGTTGTTTGTATAACTAGGTCCTGATTTGCACGGGTTTGTTAGAGACAGCAGGATTTGAAGTGGGGCAGGGGTCTGGATAAGAAGGCATCAGGGTGCTGGTTTAAAATCACTCCAGTGAACATTAGTCATTCTTCGGTCCAGGAAATTGCTAATTCCGGTGCCAGTTCATGCACTATCTGCTATCATTCCACAACATTAGTAATGTAGAGAATGAATAAGCTTTTAAAACTTGGGATAATTCTCGGGACACAGCAAGCACTAAAAAATGCCAGTTGATTTTAGGCAAAGGGAAGACTATTACAGAGCCACCAAAGGCGGCCAACCTGGGATGGCACATGAGGAACTGGGAAAAGCCCACTAAGATACCTTTGGCCTGGTGTGGCCACAGAGCCCTTGACAAGTTCTACCTCATGTGCACTGAGGGTGCCTTAAGGCACTGTCTTGCACTTTCCACCCCAGAACAAGTCAGAAAGTATCCAGAATAGCCCTCACTAAAGGACGGGGATGCAGCCACTGGATCTTCCATTTCATCTGAGGCACTTCATCTGAGGTAAATCCCATGTGTGCCTCAGAGAAACTAACAGGTGATAGGAATAATAACAATAGCAGCAGTAGCTACTATTAACTGAATTCTTACTACATTTAGACCTCATGCTGATACTCTGCATGCATAAACTCATGTAATCCTCATAGCAACTCCCATGTTGTAGGTATTGGCACCTCCAAACAAGAAGACCAGGGTGCAGAGAAGTTAGGTGACTTGCTTGAGGTGACTCATCTGTTCTGTGGCAGAGTGGAGATTGGGATGCAAAATTACCTGCTACAAAGCCCATGTGGCCAAATACTAACATTGTATTACAAAAAGCATAATAATATCCCCTACAAAATAAAGAACTAGTTTATGCAGAGGCCCTTGTCCATCTTGCTAGGAGGTTTTTGTCAATGTTGGGATGCTGTATTCTTACGTTTAGTTCACTGGAATCTTTTCAGCCTAAAACCCACAGGACCTTCTTATGTTTTGTGCTCACACTAAGGAATCTCAGTAAAGAAAAGGATGTTTATCATTAGATATTGTAGCTCTGAGGCACAAGAATCCTGTGAGAGTTGGGAGAATAGGACAAAACTGAAGGTGAAGGAAGGGTTTTCATGTGGACACAGAATCACTGAGGATCTGATTTATTTGACATTTGTGAAGCCAAGTTCAACATGTTGTTTATGGATGACTTGAAGCCCTGTCATATCATGTTTTATGATTCCAAATGAACAAAGCAGAGAAAAGTTCCCGCAGGAAAACTGAACAGGTGTTTTGGGGCTACAGGACATTTATTTAGTTATATGGTGAAGGTTATCTGTTTGATGGTAGAATCATTAAGTTGCCCAGGGTCATGCATGGGAACATGCTTTCATGGTTTCTGAAAGAAATCCGGAATGCCTTTTATTTCCCAAAACATCCTTTTGTAAAAGTGTTCTTGACATGGAGGGTGCTGACTAATTCAGAGAAGCACTCCTACCACCACCGCCAGGAAAGCTGTGGTAAATACGAGAGAGGCCTGGATTGGCAGGGGCTGGTGAGGTGGTCAGGCCCTAAGATAGCTCAGTAGACAGAGCAATGACTTCCTGATGGTAATACCAATGACATACAGGTATGTACTTTGGAAACTCTTAGTTCCCACTTCGTACAAAGGTCATGACTCTGGAGACACAGAGTGACTTGAACGCTTTTGACAAGAAAATCTCTTGGCATCCTTTATTAACTTCCTTATCTTGGCCTTACCAAAAGGTGCCTCAAAGTTCACCTAATTCTCTAACTCCTTCTAGACAGCCCTGGAGATAAGCCTAACTGTATACAAGTCAGAAACCAAATAAACAAAAACAGGACTCAAACGGTGTGTACGTTCAAAGTTTCGTAATACATGTTTCCATATTAACTTGAAAAAAATGAGCGCATGTCAGTCACCTGGATTTAAAACTCTGAATCACTGTGACTTTAGTACTTAGCATCTAGAACTGCTCCTAGCCCATGGTAAGAACTCTAAAGATATTTGTGGAACAAATGCTGTTAAATGATTTCTCATCTGGTTCTAATAAAATTCTAAAGTAAAAGTATCATTGATAATTTTTGTTGTTGTTAACATGAATTAGTTTTGTGCTTTGGAGATCCAGCATATCTGCTGCGTAGACTCTGCTGAATATGTATCTACTATTCATTCACTTGTTCTAAAAATATTCAATTTTTAAAATATCCATAATGGTATTCTGGGCACACTGAATACCATTTAATTCAACTGGTATGAAACTCTGGAGAAAAGTCTGGAAATGAATATGGTTTCATGCTTTATTTATATTTTACTCAAATATGTCTTATGTTTTTAAGTGGCACTAAAAAGTCAAGGTTGAATATGCTAAGACAAGGCTAATTTTTAAAACTTCAATTCCCATTTAAAATGGATTAACACTTAAGACAGCAATACAGCAGGTGGGTTGTTTTGTATTAGTCTTTGGGGGCGTGCTTTTGGACTGTGTGGTTCTCATAACACCCCAGCCATGGGTTCTTTCCATGTGTCTATATTTTAGCCTTGAAAATACCCTGGAACAGTATGGTTTTCCATAGGGTGACTATATAATTTATCATCCCAAATGGGGCAATTTTGAGAGTTAATGGGGTCCTTGACCCTGGCTGCATGTCAGAATCACATAGGATTTCTGTGGCTGTATTTATTGAATTTCATATTTTAGAAAACTAATTTTGGTTTATTGTTACATTCTACATTCTTTGCATTTCATTTTGCTGATCAATGAACAATATATTACTTTTATATAACAACTATGAATAGTCAGTTAAGGGAAGGAGAATAATTATGCCAATGCCACAGACATAAATGGGACTCTTTAAGGCAAACAGGGTCATATGATCATCCTAGTTACTGGGAAAGGATGCAGGTTGGAGGATCAGAAATTGTTTCACACTGGCTGCTGTATTATGTGCAAGTCACTTCTCCTCTCTAAGGTTTTAGTTTATTCAAATGAAAAGTAAAGGAGTTGTACTAAAATGAACCCTATTGTTTTCTTCAAATTCTACCATTTGATTATAAACAGATTCAAAGGAAAGAGTTTCATTATATTTTTCAAATAGTCTCAAACTAAGAGGCAGCTGGCTAGGCAAACACATGAAATATTCATCCTCTCTTCTTTTTAAAACAACATAGTTGTAAATGCTTACATCATATTTAAGATGAATCAACGCTTGCTTCAGGGTTGGCAAAAATTTCATCTTCACTACCTGAAGCATTGTGTTCAGAAAGATTCTAAGGACACATCTGGGCTCAGCAGAAAAATGGGCCTTGATGAATTAGTGATGCCTTCTGGGGTTAGAGGAACCTCAGAGCTCAGCAGGGACTAAGAGAGGGGTTTCAGCATATGCATATGTGCCAGCTCTCTGCCATAACTGGCCTAGGTCTCTGGTGCTAAAAAATAAGACAACAAAATCTTCTCATATTTAGTACAAGTCTGCCTCATATTGATATGTAACACTGTGCTAGTCTCAGAAAGATGTACTGAGCCACATGAGAAGTCCAAAGATTTTCTTTTCCTCCTGCTCTCAATGCCCTTTCACATGTGCTCAGGTTGCAAAGTATGAGGAGTGGTCCTTGACCCTGGCTGCATATCAGAATCACATAGGATTTCTGTGGCTGGGGTCCAGCCACTGGTGTTTTTAACCTCTCACCACAACCAAGGGGTTCTACTATACAAACAGCAAGGATAAAGAGGCTAGAATGGCAGAAGAGAATCAGGACACCTAGATCCCAGTCCTTTTTCTTTACTAAGGCTGCATGACCTTGGATACACTACTTAGCTTATCTAAGTCTATAAATGAATTTGGACTCTTAGGTATTCTTTAGCTATAACTTTCTGTGACTAAAAAAAAAAAAAAAAAAATGAAGAGGTAAAGAATAACATGGTGTGTTAACTCAAGTAAAATAGATGTCCTCCTCTTTGTAAATTCAAGGAAAGTTGACTTTATTGTCAAACAGAAAAATCTACAGTAGATGATCAGGAAACAAACACGCATCACTTTTCCATGCATGATCAATCACAACTTCTTGAAAGCGGCAGCTAAGTCCTATGATATCATCTACAGAATCCCTTTTCTTAATTGTTCTTGAAAATGGTTTTTGTAAACACTAGAAAACCATGGACATAATTTACTACTTCCATTACATTTTTTTTTTCATTGCTTGCACCCCTGACTTTGGCAGCTATTTCAGCATTCCTGCTATTCAGTAATTTAACATCTCACCTGAGTGACAGCAACATTTGTCCCATCAGTGACTTCCACACTCATATTATAGATGGACCTCTGCTCTGCGTCCAAAGGTTTTGCGATGACAATTGTCCCAACACCCTTCTCTGCGTCAAAAGCGCTGTCAAAATTCCCCCCTGATGATTTCACAGAAACATGAAATTAGCAAATCTGAGAACTTATTACATGTATTATATCATATATCTTTAAAGGGAGCTCTTATACAGAAATATTTTTTTGATAGGCATCCCTATGGCTCAATTTTGTACATCTTAAATGGGACCTCTTTATTTCTAACTTGATTCATAGTTCAAAACACAGCCTCTACAATGCATAACAAATGTCACAAAAAAGGAATGTATTGCAAAGAAAAACCTCAGCAGTAAATGTTAAAGTAGTGAAGCATAAACTGACCCCATTAAATATTTAGAAACCTAAAGGCCCTTCAACCTCTTGTGGCTTCACCATTAGAAATTTGTAGATCTTTTTGTTTTTTCCAAAGTAGATTAAATTCTAAGTAAATAAATAGTCCAATTATTATTAATAGAATGAATACACATTTAAAATCTATTCCAGGATTGATGGTAAACATTTGGCTGCTAGAATTCAGATTCCCTTAATTAAATGTCAGAAATAAAATTATGAATTCTAAACAGTAAAAAAAAAAAAGCAAAAAAATTTTCATATTAAAAATTCTATATCTGTGAGCTGGGATATTTATAGAAATACTTATGTTGCCATCTTGGTAGTGTAAATTATTTTTCTCCTAAAAAGACAGAAAGCCTAGGGAGAGTCACAAAATAAAATTGGGAAAGAAGTAGAAGAAAACATCGGCTTATATGACACCAAATTACAAAACAATTCACATGAAAGTTTAGAAAACTTTACTTTCCCCTCAACCCCCTGGCCACATGTAACTCACAGTCTGTGAGTGATGTGCTTAAGACAATATTGCCGTTGTTGAAATCACTGCTGATGTTTCCACCTCTGGCAACCAAAGTGTGGTTTATGATCTTCCCAAAATGAAAGATTTTTTTTGAGGGGGAGAAAAATAATGGTATGAATGTTGGAATAATTTTAATTAAGCATGAGTGTATGTTCACAAGCTCTGCTTCTTTTGGCCTGAAATTTCATGGTGTTGATTTTGTTCTCAGACAGTAATTTTATTTAACTACAGCATATATGGCAATGTATTTATTGAATTTCATATTTTAGAAAACTAACTTTGGTTTATTTTTACATTCCACATTCTTTGCATTTCATTTTGCTGATCAATGAACAGTACAATATATTACTTTTATATAACAATTATGAATAGTGAGTTAAGGGAAGGAGAATTTTACCTGAATTACTAGAATCTGATGTACAATGACATGAAATAAATAATACGGTTTACTTAAAAAAAAACCTGGCCATATATATATTTCAAATACTTATTACTTGCCGCTGTCATATACACTTAAGATTATTTAATTGCAAGAGAGAATATAATTGCCCTTGACATTTAATTAAAGTTATGGAGAGATGAGAGTATCAGAGAATTGCTCGGAGATTATATACTTTTTAAAAAACTTCATCTAAAAAGAGACTCATTTTCCAGTTAATATCTTTAATTGATTTGATGAGGAGCACTAAATATTAACTCCAAAAAAATTGTTTGAAGCTAGGATAAGGAGAGAAGGGGGAGTCTAGCCTGAAAAGGGGAGCAAGCCTTAGGTCATTACCATTTCTTATTCAAAGGGAATGTTTCATGTTGATAACAACATGAAACAAAATGGAAGTCTGATTTGAGTGTCGTGAAAAACCATCTTCATGAACAAGAGAAAAAAACAACAACAACAACATGATCATTTGCTATTAAGCGGTACATTCTGAGAAAAAATTTGCCATGGAAACTTTCAAAGAAAGGTCATAAAATTGCCTCATAAGTCCTGTATGGAAGGAAAGATGAGAATGCAACTTCTCAGGTTGTTTCTAGTGGGTATTAAATCTCATTTTAAATCCCATTTAGAATGTTTTCTTTACCAAAATGTTAACTTTCTTAAATCTTAGGGTCATGATATTATTTGGAGGTGGGGAAAGGAGTCATCCCCTAATGTTGATTATTTTTAAATGTGAAAATGTGTGAGTCAAGTCAAAATAAAGATTATGCAAATTATAAAACTTTAGTTTGCTCCAGTTTAAAGATGTAAAATACATTTTAGAGAACCAGCAAGCATAGTTTGAGTTTGAGTTACTGTTTAAATGGGGCAGTCCAATTTGCTCTGTTTCACTGACTTTGACTCACATTTTCCCCAGGGCCCTGTACAAAAATACATAATCATCTCATGCGCTTAGTGGCATAACATTTACATGTGGCATATAGAGTGTGTGCTTTTTCTTAGTCGTTTTTCATATCAAATAACATTTTTGGCTAATTTTATGGGTTTTTTTTTTTTTTTTACAGTTTTCTCTGTGTGTGTTCATATATGTATTTGTGTGTGTATGTGTATGTGTGTATCTCCCTCAAATTCTTTAGAACAGAAACCTCCAAAGGGACAGGGGAGATAGACCATTAGAAGAGCAGAGCCAAGAGCACTTGAGGGAGAGCCTACAAACTATGTTTCTCAGTTTACCAATATAGTTAGCAGCCTCGGACACTCATTTCCAGGACATTTGTTCCTAGTTAAACTAAGATTTAAGGTAAAACAAAATCTTCCATGAGTTTTAAAATGAATTTCTGACAAGGGACACAGAATCTAGACCAGCAGTTTACCATCAACCCTCACACAATTTAATAACCTACCACTTAAGCATCCCATTTCATAAACGACTCCATATCTCTCCCCCAGGTCTCATTTTTCAGGCTCCCTTTTAGCCTGAAAGTGATTTCATTTTCATAGGAAACCATATCCAAATCGTCCAGAGTGAGAATATCAAATGCAAGGAGTCCATTTTTGCTAGCAGCATTCCACTTAAACAAGGTGTGCTTCCTCAGAGCCAGTAACAGAACATGCAAAGCCAGAGTGTGTTTGGTGCAGCAGCGTTAGGCTCAACAAAAGGTGGGGAGGAGGGAGGACACCGCAGAGCTGGTCTGAGTTTCAACAAAGTGGGAAATTAGAAAAGTCACAGCCTGAGCATTGCTGCAGGGGTGTGCGGCAGAGATGGTTAAAAGCAAGGTTGTGAACAGCCCACATAACAGATAATTCACATTAGGGACATATCTCTTTGACCATTTTCGGTCAAGACAGGTGTAATAGAGTAAACAAAGAGCAGATGAAGCACACTGGATTTCTATTGGATTCTAAAGTTAAACATCCCAAGTAGGAATGTCCTAAAAGGCTTTAAAGATGGGACATAAGTGGAAATATTTTGAGCGAGCAGCTACTGCTTAAATGTGCTGGGCATTGGAGCTGGGCCATGATTCACTCTAGCTTTTCTTTAAAGAAGGGTATGAAGCACCTCTGTCCCTCCATAAAGACACCCAATGGTGAGAATCACACAGCTTCCCCTTTAGAGAAGCTTCCAGGTACCTCCCCTAGCATATGATTCTATTCCACTCCATGCGTAATTGTAAAAATACCAACCCACATCTAGTTGTCACCAAGGGGGAGGTGTTATGTGAGCAGCTTCCAGAACACGGAGCTGCTGACTCTCAATGAATTCAGGGAGTTGTGCACAAGCTGTTGATTCAGGTTCAGCATGTACACTGAAATTAAGAAAAAATGCTAAACACCAGTTATGGTTTGATCTTGAAAATGCTAAACACTAATTACCATTTTCCCCTAATTTTCTGCCTTGAAATGAAAGCAAGCACAGTACCTGGCTGAAAAGGATATTTACTTGGAAGACAGGGGACACCAGGCGGAGGTCAGGAAAAAGTGGTCGGAAAGAAAATCCCTTCTAGAATCGAGTTTAAAATTCATTTTCTTAAAACCGTTAATAGTATATAAAGTGTTTCTAGGCTGCTTCTTATTTTTCTGAAGTTTCTTCAGATGTGCTCCTATGGACCAGACTGTTGCTATGGAATAATGAGAGGCTTATTTGGGATCAAATTAGGGAAAAGGGGCAGAATGGGGAAATGAAGTGTTTGATATCAGTTGAATAACTTGGAGCAAGGGTCACCCTGATGCAGGAGCAGTTGTAATAGAAATAACGCATGAACATGGTTTCTCTCCATATCACTGGGTAAGAGTCTTTTGTTAGAGAAATACAGCCACCTGATTAGGGAAGACCCAGAGGTTTCCAAGCTCTAGCTGAAGAACAAGGCTCTACTAGTGCTACCAGAGACTTCAACTGGCCTACTTGATTCACCTCTAAATGGCGATGGCTCCGCTGGGGACAAGGTTCAATAAAGACAGGCAAAAGCTTATGACACAGCAGCAGCCTGGAGCCCAAAGTTTGAAGGAACCTATGACAAATGAAGGGTAAAAGCAGCCTTCCTGCAACACAGAAAGACATTTCAACTTGAGTTGGAACTACGTGCTATCACTCACCAATGGAGAATCATTTTCAAAGAGCAGCCTTACAGTAGGCAAGATAAAGAAAGATATTTTAGGTGCTTACGATTTACAAAGAAAACTATTTTTGTAGCCTAAGTCAGGTGAAAAGCTAAAAAATGGGTGACAGCACCCCCCACCCATCTGCAGGTAAAGAGGAACTGTCTGAGGTACGTAAAAAAGGTGGCCTTCTCTGTTCCAATATTTGCCAACAGAATAAAGATACAGGGACTGAACTGTGAACCAGATTGCATGCACATTAGAGAGTCTGTAAATCAAGGAGCTGTGGAGTTGAAATCATAGTCCCCTGAGAAGTGTGAAGATATGTGATAAAGCCACAAAGGATTATGGGTTATTTGTGTTCCCTTCAGTTTCTTTCCCTTTTAACACAGAGAAGGAACATGCTGTGCGTTGGGCTGTTTAAACGCAGAACAGCTGAACTTTATTATGTTTCCTTTTAATTACAGCTTTCTTAACTCAGTTACAAGTAGGGCTTCTGTTTCTGGAAGCTGAAAAGTCTCACTGCATAACATTGTAAGCAGTGGTCTCCTTGGAGGCACAAGAAAGTGTGTGACAGATCCTCGATGCAAGGGTCCAGGCTTGGTAACAAAACCTTGCTCGCTACCCCATTTTTGTGAATTCATATCATGGTGGGAGGCAAAGACATGCAGTTAAGCAAGATTTGGGTTGATTTGGAAATGCAGAAATGAGGCGACTTCACTCTCAGGAGAAAAGCATGCTGAAACACGATTTCTGCTCACTTAATGAGAATTTATTAGTCATAGCATTTGTAAGCTATAAGTGCCATGCCAAGATGATGTCTTCTCTGTAACTCAGTGTCTCTTTAGGTGTCTGCATGCACTAGGTCTAAAATGGAACCAAATCCTCACTCCCTTGCAAGAGTCATAGAGTATTTACCTTTGCAAGGCCCATACTTATACCTGAGACCTCATTTCAGATCCATGCTGACATTACATACCTAGTGCCTATTCCAGGCATTCACTGCTATGTTTCTTAAGCATTGAGGCGCAATGTTCCCTCTTTCCCCTGTATGTTAGCTTGGCCAGAAAAGATGCTTAGGTAAGGAGGAAGGGAACAAAGAGATGAGAGTTTCCACGGCCGAAGATAAATAAGCAAGAAATCTTGAAAGCGAGAATAAAACATCTGAATATGATAAAGGAAACAATAGGTATTTAGAGAGGGGGAAAGATGTTGTCAGCAGATTGAGAAAAAATGACTCTGATGGATTAGAAAGATTTTCAAAAGGAGGATTTGGTGGAACGCGGACCGTATCGATACTGAAGCAACCAGCACCTGGGAAAAGGATTTTACTTCTGCGCTGAAATAAAGATTTGGTGTTTCAAGATGTTGTTGGCTGGATGTGGAGATGGAAATAAAATCATGTTCTGTTTGGGCATCTGGCCCAGTAAGTTCAATTTGGAAAAGAAGCTTGGCTAGATGTTACCCGATTTACAGTGAAATCTCTGTGATGGAAGCATCCAGACCAGAGGGACAACCCTGTAGGTCCTCATTCAGAAACTTACAAGTGCCCTGAAACTGAAGGGAATCTCTAGGAAGAGCGTAGCATTTAGAAATACACCAATGAAGAAACATGAAAACTGATGCCATGTTCTTGATGATGGACCCCGGGTCTATATTTAAGGTAGCTTAAAGGGACTCCTTCCAGGGAGAGCTCTCATCTGTAAACTGCCTCTCTCTTCTTGGACCAGTGATGTTTCTATTTTGTCAAAGGTGCGTAGGTTGCCATGGCCGGTAGCACAGTGGAGGGTCACACTGACTCTGAGTCGGTTCCAGGAGGCATCAGTAGGGTTAGCATAGTGGCTGCCTGGGGTATCTCCATCACTCACCATAGTTTATTCCACTCATCCTGGGTTGGTAGCAACAGAGGTATTGGCAGGAGGAAGGAATGAGGACACATGGGCCTTAACCATAGGGGTTAAGAGTGGAGACAGGATAAGCACAAATGAAAAAATACAGCAACACTCATCATGCTGACATGAGAAACTTGCAAATCAGGTTACATGCAGTACTGCTAGGCATGCTTACCTACAGACAGTCACACACACACACAGGCAGGAATGATGAAGAGTTGCAAACCTGACCTTGATAACTAGGGTCAAGCAGCTGGTGAGACTGACCATTACAGAAAGGCATGCCAGTAGGATTTCAAAAGCAGACTACAAGTGAGGGCATCCCGGGGCACATAGGTGGTAGGTGGGATGTGCCACGGGTCAGCAGGTTGCGTGCACAGATCATGCCAGGGAGAGATGTGACACTGTCCGGCTGTAGAGGTGCTTGGAAACTGGAGTGTCCAAGGAGGAGGGAGAAAAATCAGTGGCTGATGAGAAAGGATAACTCATCTCATCTCAGGAAAGCACACTAGACATTCTGTTGCCTATTCGGTTTCTGCTGCACTCTCCTTTAGGTTATTTAAAAGAAATCACTTTTTTTTCTTTTACTGTTTTTTATTTTTTGTTTTTATTTATTTATTTATTTATTTATTTTTGAGACAGTCTTGCTCTGTTGCCCAGGCTGCTGGAGTACAGTGATGCAATCTCAGCTCACTGCAACCTCCGCCTCCCGGGTTAAAGCAATTCTCCTGCCTCAGCCTCCTTAGTAGCTGGGATTACAGGCACCCGCTATCACGTCCAGCTAATTTTTGTATTTTTAGTAGAGACGGGGTTTTGCCATGTTGGACAGGCTGGTCTTGAACTCCTGACCTCAAGTGATCCGCCCACCTCAGCCTCCCAAAGTGCTGAAATTACAGGAGTGAGCCACTGTGCCCGGCTAGAAATCACTATTGCACATGTCTCTGGAAACCTGGCACTAGTAGCACTTTCTGTGACTCTGACTGGGGGTGGAAGTGAAGAAATCATTAAAGGTGACGGTACAGACAACCAGACCATGACTACGTGCAACCCTTTGTTGTGCCAAGAAAGAAGAAACTGCATCAGATAATATCTTATGAGCTAAAAGTTACTGAGAAGATAAAGAAGTGGAGACCCCTTTCATGGATCAGAAGAAGTTTCATTTCAAATATGTTGAGTAGGAATGAAGAGAGAAGTGAAAGCTTGGTGTGAGGATGGCCGTGTACAGGATGGCATGATTAATACCAAGTAAGTAAAACGAAAACGTTCCACTGTCATTCCATCAAATGAGACATGTAGAAAACAGCTCTTTACTTTTTGGAAGTTCAGAGGACTCTCTACAGAGGTTCGATTGCGGGCCATGGGGCATTCTTTTTCTGTGCCTTGTTAAAACCGTTGTGGAACTTTCTAAATGCTTATCCCAAGCACAGCAATTCCTAGGGGGAGAGGCGTGTTCCTGCCCATCCTATCCAGGCAGTGACATAGGGAAGGAAACGATTTCCCCAGACCAACTCTCTCCTGGATCCCCTGCCTCCCACTGAGAAGCGTGGGAAGTCAGCTTTAGCTCAACGCAGTGTCGGATTGGGCGACACACACTCTCCCCTCTGTTTTAGCAACAGCCTGTTTTGTTTCCCGGTCCTCGGCACTCATTTCCTCTCTAGTGCCTCTCCCTGCTGGTTTGTCAAGGGCTATAGTGCTGTTTTGCCCTTTCCTTTTGCAGCCTGGCGTGCTTGCTTGCTTTCTTTCAAGGAATTTAAAGGTTGGCTCCCAGGGTCTATCCTGCATGCTTCCATCTGCTTCCTCTATTCGGCTTGCGGGGGAGGCTGACTGGCTATATATCTAGGTTCCATTTCCTGCCCTTCCTTTTGTGGACGACAGCCAGGGGACTCTCCTGATGGGGCTATTGGTGTATGAATGGTACTACCGCTGCAAAACAGAGGGACTGGAATATATTTTAATTTATTTTTCAATTGGAAAAGGCCCAGTTAAATAAACCAACCTACAAAAAGATAAAAACAAAACAACAAAAAGCCCACATACCTCAAAAGCAAAGAAACAAAAATCAAAACAAACCCCCCCAAAATCCAAACCCTATCAAACTCGAACAAAGGAAGTCATTGGATACGAGTAACGCAATAGCTGTTAGAGGCATATATGAAATCTGTGGGCTGCACTTCAGCCTGTCACAGGCAGTTATGAAAGATGTAATTCAATTTGCTTAAAAAAAAAACCGTAAAAGGCAGATTGGATAGCTGTATTTTAGCAAATGTGTTTGCACTAAGGGTACCTTCTGTTGAACAGTTCTGCCCACAAGCTGTCTGTAGAATATAGAACATCTCTCGAGCATGCTTGCCACCTTGAAGCAGGGCAGTCGGGAGCAGAAAAAAAAAAGAACAGAATGCAGAAAAAAGGTGAAGAAAAAGAGAGAAATGAAGGACAGCAAGTCTAGTACCATCAATACATTTAGAAATGAGATTAGCCAAGTGTGACAATAGAATTTAAATGACACACAGAAAGACATTAAGATTGCAGTAAATAACGTACTATGGAAAATCCAGCCAGAGAGCACTTTCGGTTCAGCTTAGCTACAGAGTTGGAACGAAAGCACAGGTCGATTATTCATTTTACTGGCTCTTTTGCATTCCAGCACTATACATATTTTAATCTTGGCACTAATTGTTAGTTTTTTGCTTTCTTTCTTTTTTCTTTTTCTTTCTTTCTTTTTTTTTTTTTTTTGCTAGTTGCTTCAGTCAATTATTACATTGCACGATACTGCTCTGTAAGACTCGAACTTACCAACTATGTCAAACCACAGAGGGGTGTTAGCTGGCTGCACAGACACCACCCCTACAATTTCAGTCACTCTATCACTTTCCATGACTGTGAAGTTATAAAACGGCTCATCGAAGGTCAATGGTATAGGCGAAGGGGGTGGTTTCTTAATCCATTCAATGTGGAGGCGGGCCGTGGAGGATTTCTGTGGGCGCCCATTGTCCACTGCCTTTATCTACTCACACAGGGAGAGAACAGAAAGATGTCTCAGACCTCTGATTGTTGTAGAGTTTGGATCTGTCACTCATGTTGCTGGGCCAAGGGTCCATCTTCAACACAGTGTCAGAAAGGGGAAGAAAGGAGCAGAGTTCTGGGGAGAAAAGGCTTGGGAATGGAGGGGAACAACCCAGCCATGTGTAGACCTTGCACCATGTTTGCCAGCGGCTCTCTGGACCACCGTCAACGTTACAGATATGGAGATCTTGAAAGACAAATGCTGCACTTACAGTTTGTGGTGATTTGTGGCCCTGAATAATAGTTACATGAATAGAAATAGCTAATTTGATTCCTGATAGCATGATCCTGAGCCTCACCTCTGGTGGTGATATGTGAAAGGGAAGAAAGTGCATTGTGAAACCTTATATATGTGTGAATGATATGTGCAGAAGTGTGTGTGTGTATGTGTGTGTGTGGTTGTGTTTTGCAGTGTGTGGTTGTGTTTCTCAGCTCCTTCCTTCTGCTCTTTGTGATTGATAGCAGCACAGGATCCCAGGAGCAAGATAGAGTGGGCTGGGAAAGGGAGCAGCCTGGAGCTACTGCCTTGAGGCCCTTCAGTTTTGCCATCTGCAGAAAGGTAACAGAGAACTCTCTCGATAGCACAGTCCCTGGAAGCAGCGTGGAAGGGAGGACAGGGCTAATGACTCTCCTCTGTGGTCATAATTAGCTGATATAAGGGCTGAGGAAGCAAGTCTCCCCACCCAGCTGGGAAGGGTGAAGAGTCCAGGTGAACTCTGGACTCAAATGGGAGGGTCAAAAGCTCCAAGAAGCAAAGGCCAAAACAAAACAGAAATAAAAATAAATTTTTAAAAGGACTTTCAAGTATTGCATTTAAAAAATAACATTTATAGGAACATAACTGATAGCTACAGCCTTTCCAAACAGTGACAATGCATAGCACCCTCATGCTATGTGTTCATGAATGATTGCTTTGCCCTAGAATATCCCTGTGGGGTGAGAAAACTTGAGGATACATGTCTTAAGTCAGGTTCCCCCAGGAGCTAAGACAGGTATTTGAGTACAAATGGTTTTTTTGGGAGAAGTGCTCTCAGCTGAAAGGGAATAGAGATCAGGGTGGGCAGGGTGGGAGTTAAATCAGGGTGTGGTCCTGGCTGACCAGAGGGATCCCATGGGGAGCTCTGAACCATTAATTGCACCACAGTTGAATCCAACTTGAGGCAAGGGGATTGGACTTTTGTATCTGGGTGTCAGTCAGTCAGTGGCTGTGGGCTGCTAGACTGGAGGCTGGGAATGTAGACTTTCTTTCACCAAGAATCATCCAAGGATGACTCTCTGGAGAAGAGGGCAGCTGTGAGCCATTGACAGCCAATACTTGCAGCAGTTGAGGGACAGATAAACCAGTCTGAGAATGGGAGCTGGGCAGGACACCAACAGTATCCACTTGAATCTATCCAGTCCTCAAAGATTCCCAAACTGCAAGTCTCACACACCTGCAATGGCACATAGCACATCAGAGCTCCTAACAGTAGAAACAGAGCTGGTGTTTTACTGTAGTTTTTTTCTCTGCCCACTGTTCTGGCCACATAACTGAGCACAGCAAGGAACCCACATCTAGACCATTTCCTTTTGCAGCCTGGCGTGCTTGCTTGCTTTCTTTCAAGGAATTTAAAGGTTGGCTCCCAGGGTCTATCCTGCATGCTTCCATCTGCTTCCTCTATTCGGCTTGCGGGGGAGGCTGACTGGCTATATATCTAGGTTCCATTTCCTGCCCTTCCTTTTGTGGACGACAGCCAGGGGACTCTCCTGATGGGGCTATTGGTGTATGAATGGTACTACCGCTGCAAAACAGAGGGACTGGAATATATTTTAATTTATTTTTCAATTGGAAAAGGCCCAGTTAAATAAACCAACCTACAAAAAGATAAAAACAAAACAACAAAAAGCCCACATACCTCAAAAGCAAAGAAACAAAAATCAAAACAAACCCCCCCAAAATCCAAACCCTATCAAACTCGAACAAAGGAAGTCATTGGATACGAGTAACGCAATAGCTGTTAGAGGCATATATGAAATCTGTGGGCTGCACTTCAGCCTGTCACAGGCAGTTATGAAAGATGTAATTCAATTTGCTTAAAAAAAAAACCGTAAAAGGCAGATTGGATAGCTGTATTTTAGCAAATGTGTTTGCACTAAGGGTACCTTCTGTTGAACAGTTCTGCCCACAAGCTGTCTGTAGAATATAGAACATCTCTCGAGCATGCTTGCCACCTTGAAGCAGGGCAGTCGGGAGCAGAAAAAAAAAAGAACAGAATGCAGAAAAAAGGTGAAGAAAAAGAGAGAAATGAAGGACAGCAAGTCTAGTACCATCAATACATTTAGAAATGAGATTAGCCAAGTGTGACAATAGAATTTAAATGACACACAGAAAGACATTAAGATTGCAGTAAATAACGTACTATGGAAAATCCAGCCAGAGAGCACTTTCGGTTCAGCTTAGCTACAGAGTTGGAACGAAAGCACAGGTCGATTATTCATTTTACTGGCTCTTTTGCATTCCAGCACTATACATATTTTAATCTTGGCACTAATTGTTAGTTTTTTGCTTTCTT